ACCTGCTTTACAAGCTTAACTGAGATTGAGACTGGGATTCTGGTGGTACTTTCTGCATGAACAAGCTAGGAGAAACAAACTAGTAAGTAGCATCTCTCCAGGGCTTCTACATCAGCTCCTGCCTTCAGATTTCTGCCCTGACATTTTGGGGGCCTGCTTTGTGACCTAACGTTCCAGCCTCTTTTTGATGATAAGGGGTAAAAGTGTTCTTCTGGCTATTTCTGGCTGAGTGGGGACTGTGTGTGTGTGTGTGTGTGTGTGTGTGTGTGTGTGTGTGTGTGTGTGTGTGTGTGTGTGTAATGTTTATCCAAAGTAGTGAGGTCAAACAGGCTGTCAGAAGCATCTGGCTCACTGAGCATTAGGTCAGCTCATTAACTTTTTTCCTCTGGAAAATATCTTAAGAGACAGAGAGCAGTTGTTACTATGAGAAGGACAGACATCAGAGGGCTGAGGAAGGGCGTGAGCCAGGAGCCCACAGGAGACCTTAGTGAGGGTTCTGCACTGGAGTCAGCTCCTGGGGCTGCTGGATTCTGTGTGCCAGCTCATGTAGGTTTTTAATTCATTCTTCCACCAGGCCTGATTGAGTTACAAAGTAACAGCATTCTCCATTGAGGAAGAGACAAGTGCCTCCTTTTTCAACACATTCAGGGCTCACTGGTTTTGTTGGGCCGCAGAGCCTAGGGTGGTGAGCTGGTTTTGGAATAGTTGTAGGACCAAGGTTGATTCCTGGATGGTATCTGCCAGCTTCGTGGAAATCTTCTGAGACAGATGTATACTGTGGGTAGAAAGTAAAAATAAGGAGCTCAGGTTGAGAAGAAAGAGACCACCCCCCAGAGATAGGCAGTAGGCAGGTGTCTTGTTGACTAATAAGAATACTTATCAGAGAAAGGATCTGGATCCAGTCTCAACTTCCTGAAGCTTGCATGAATGTTTGGAGGTTGATGTGTCTGCACTGGAGAAAAAGCAGCTTGTAAATGTCAGCAAGCAGCTCGAGCAGGCACTTGCCTTTAAGTCACAGCAGAAATGAAGAGAAGCTATCAACACAAACATGCACATTCGTCTGTAATAACATGGTACTTTCCTGGCAGGAAAAAAAATGAAGGGGAAGCAGATCTTGAGGATCAGAAAGATGGTCCCGAGCCGGGCGTTGGTGGCGCACACCTTTAATCCCAGCACTCGGGAGGCAGAGGCAGGCGGATCTCTGTGAGTTCGAGGCCAGGCTGGATCGACAGCCTCCAAAACAGAGAAACCCTGTCTCGTAAAACCAAAAAAAAAAAAAAAAAAAAAAAAAAGAAAGAAAGATGGTCCCGAGCTGAGTGGTGGATTGGCTTTGCTCTTTACAGTCAGACTATATCATGTTGTTCCGAATGTCTTTCTGAAAAAGGGGTTAACCATCACCTGCAGACCTGGAGACCTGAAAACATAAGAGAACTACAATCTCATGGCCTTCAGGACGTTCATACTTGTCTCAAGAGACAGAGGAACAAAGCGGATAGACAGGAGGGAGAGGGAGACTGGCCTTCTATATTTCTTCATCAGGCTGTAGAATTAAGACAGCTGTAGAATGCATTTAAATTAGTAACTCCTCTAGAAATTAGAAAACTTTTTAGGGGAAATGGTTCTGTTTTTTTCTAAGTAAACATTTTACTTCTTTGAGAACTTTTGATCATATTCTTCAATTCTTCCTCCCTTTAACTCCTCCCAGATCTTCCCAGTCTCCACCCTGTTTTGTGTATGGTTCCATTTTTTTTCATTTTATTGAAACTAGCTTTGTTTTTCTTCACATAATGTATGTTGATTACAGTTTCCATCCTTCTATTCCTCCCAGTTCCTCCCAACCTTCCCTCCCATATGGAGTCACTCCCTTTCTGTCTCTCATTAGAAAAAAGGCTTCTAAGGGATAATAATAAAATTAAATATAGTAAGATAAAACTCTGTGAGTTCATATTGAGTTTTGGTCATGTTGATTTAGAGGATCTTGTTCTCTTGGTGTCCTCCTTCCCATTGGGCTCTTACTTCTTTCTGCCTCATTTTCTTTGGGATTCCCTGGTCCCCATGGGTTTGGAAGGAGGGGGTTTGATAGAGACACTCGATTTAGGGCTCAGTGTTTCAAGGTCTCACTTTCTGCATTATGTCTGACTGTGAATCTCAGTATTTGATCACATATGCTCCAGCAGGAAATATCTCTGATCATGGCTGAGCAAGGTTCTGATCTTTGAGTACAGCAGGATGTCATTAGGAGTCATTTTATTGCTAATTTCATTTAGCAGAGCAGTAGTATCTTCTTTTATCCTAAGCCCCTTGGCTATGTAGTCTTTGGCTTTTAGTCACTCAAACAGTGTTGGGTGTGTGTTCCATCTCATAGAGTGGCCTTAAGTCAAATCAGACATTGGTGGTTACTCCCATAAGCTTTGTGCCAACATTGCTCTATCATATTTTTCTGTCAGGACACCATTGCAGAGAAGTTTTAGAGGACCTAGATAGGGGGGCACAGTAAGTGGTAGGGAGGGGCTTAGACAGATATATGGTACTTTTTGATCTGGGAAGTGTGGGGAGGAAGAGTTATCAGATTGTGTCTCTGTTGCTCTTTGGATCTATCAGGTTTTATCCCAATATTTGACTTTCAGAATATGACATTTGAGATGTTTTAATAACAGAAAGCTTTTCATGACAGTGAGACACATATGCTCCTGGCAGCACCAATTTACTTCAAAAAGGGATTACGGGCATCCAAGAATCACCATATGGAGTTTGGTTGCATTGTTGCAAAGTTAGCCACTGGGCAAGAAATAGCCCTTGCCTCAATTGCTGACAGTGTGTTGCACAAATTGGATAAGAAGGACATAAAAGAAGGTGACTGTCAAACTTTGCCAAGACAAGATAAAACAGTCTTTCATAACTATTCTTCACAGAAAAATCTTTCAGATAGGCTAGGCCTGTAGGACAAAGGTGGGTGCCCCAATGTTGCAGAGGAACCTTGGGTGACTGTCTAGGCAGCCAGATGTCTCTGCTATTTCTATAGTGTTGGAAGTTGTTTGCTCTGCACTTTGTTTACTCAGGTATTATTATATACTTCTTGGGTCTCTGATGGAATTGTAGACTAAATAGTTATATCATTTTCTTTGTTATCAAATTCAGAAAAGAAATTTACATAAGAGATGTAAAGTGTATAAGGTTGAGAGACATACAAATTTTAGTTGTTTTATCTAAGGAAAAGTTTTACCATCTAAAAAGATATTTCTATGTTGGTTAAACAAGTTATGATAGAAAGTGAATTAGATACAAAACTTTGAACTCACCAAGATAGGATAGATAATAGAGTATTTTCTCTGAATTTGCCAACTACAAATTAACTGGACATTGTTAATGTAATTCTTAGTTGATAATTGTTTTTATTGTATATAGTTTTATTTTGTTAAAGTTAAAACTTTTCCTTTTTATTTAAACAATACCTGATAGGTTTTCTTATTGTATATAGTTTTACTATGTCAGAGTTAAAATCTTTTCTTTTTATTTAGACAACAAGAGGGAAGTGTTGTGGGATATTTGTTTGCACTAGCACTCCCAGACTGTCAATAAAGTTTACCCAGAATCACAGTGAGGATCCAATGATTGGCTGACTAGAATTAGCCATAGAGGTTTTGGAGAACGGACATAGGGTGGCATAGGAAGTAGTAGGGAGGGGCTTAGAGAGATTTGAGGTCCTTTTTGATCTGCGAAGTCTGGAGAGGCAGGGTTCATTGACTGTTCATCCGTTGCTCTTTGCTCTATTAGGTTTTACTCCAATATCTGACTCCTGAGTTTTACTTACTAATATAACAATAAAAGTAATCGCTTCACACATGGAGGGGAGTAGCTGAGAAGACTCTAGAATATGGGGTCAAATTTGATAGATGACAGGAGCCGGCAGAAACAATGATCCATACATACGTAGGAGAGCAAAATCAGCAGCTTGGTTCGGAGAGGCTGAGTTCCATGGAAGAGAACTTATACATGCCAATCCTTTAGTTTTGGTACCAGATGAATAAAAAAAAGAAATAAAAACAGTGGACATGACTGCTCCTAGGTATGGTGGAGGAGAAAGTTTATTGTAGATAAAAAGGAGAGCATAGCCAGAGGCAGGAGCATCTAGGAGAGTCCAGAATAAATACAACCCTGAACTGGGCTCTATGACAAGAGGGACAAGGAGTGAGGGGAGAGAGGGGAGGAGATAGCCAGATTCAGAGGCCAAGAGTATAAATGATAGGCCAAACAGGGGCAGGTAACCAAAATGGCTGGATTATACAGGTAAGGGGAGCCCAGCCCTGGCTGTCCTCGAATTTACTGTGTAGTCTAGGATGCCTCTGCCTCCCAAGTGTTTGGATTAAAGGTTTGTGCAACATACCTAGCTGCTGTGAATTCTTATTTTACACCCTAAGATGTACTTGTAAGCCTTCACAGACCATTTAAAGAAGAAAGGCACACCCAACCACTTCACCAGCTTGTGGGGTTTCTCTAATACCTCAGCTTAGGTGTGTGTTGACTCCTAGTATACTCTCAATGCTTGTCACCCAGCCTGGCATTAAGCAGGAACTCAGTACATGGGCTAAACAGGTGATGTCATGAGTAATGGGATTGTTTGTGTTCTTTGAGTTTTACGTCAGTCTAGGTAAGAACAGAACCAGGAAATTTCCATCCTATACCAGGGAACTCATAAAGCTTGGAAAAACTCCCAAACGTAAATGTTTTAATCTGAATTTAAATATTTACCATGTTTTGTGGGAAATCAAATCCTATCATTTGTGGGCTAAGATCTATCCAGTGGCAAGGCTAGTAGTAGAACATTCAAGACTGATGCCTGAGAATTGAAGGTAGTGGTCAAGGGATCTCTGAGTATTTCTTAAAAATGAAACTTCCTGGTTGGACACCCAACAGGTACTATTAGACCACACACACACACACACACACACACACACACACACACACACACACACACACACACACACAAAAGACAGAGTAGGAACATTCTGGACCAGTCTTTATGTTTTCATAGGGTGACTGTGAGACCCTTGCCCCTCCCCAGATGCTGAATTGGCAGACCAGAGGGCCCAGGAACGCAGAAGTACAGGACTGGTTCTGTCCTTAGTTCTGGAGAGTCTCTGATCTGGAGAACATGTGAAGACAGTGCCTACTTCTCAATTGTAATACAGGCTAAAGTAGGCCACACGGTTCCGATGCTTTCTAAAGTCCTTGTCTGTGGACAGCTGCAATAAAAGAATATTGTCTGGGTCAGTATCTCAGCAAGCATTCTCTGCTAGGAATTATTGGCTACTTGGAAATTTTTGAGTAGTTGGTCAGCATCTTGAAGACGAGGATTGTATGTCTAACTATATGTTACCCATAGGTCCCAAAAATGTATATCCATATATTAGGCATTTAACAAATATTTATGGATTTATTCCTAAATTACACTAGGAAAAAACATAAACCTAGAATTATGACAGCAAACCTATACTAAGCATATAATCTATGTACTGTATTAAATGCATGTCCATATCTTTATTAATCTTTATAATAATGTCAGATAAATTGTATTATTAAATTAATTTTAAAGATAAAAATTGACACTTAGAAAAAGACCTAGAGATCACACAGGAAGGCAATACTGGATTCCTATTTGAAGATGGGAAGTACTTTGCATGCTCTTATTCAGAATGCTTTCCAGTTCTCCAGAGATCTAACACACATGTGCTATGCCAGAAAGAACAATGCATCAGGAGTTATGGATGTGGATTGCAGCCACCCAGTCCTAATCATTACTATTCTCAGCATTTTCTTAAGTTCCTAGGTCTACCCTAAAGAATTATCAGGAGCAATTAATCCCTTATCTAAGGATTAAATAAAATGCGATATATGGCTCTATTATCAGCTATAAAAAGCTAATGCTGATATATAGCTCTGCAAAAAGATTTTCACATTAACATACACATAAAATATAATCTCAGGGGACCATGAACTTTTTAATGTTCCCTTACAGACTTCCAGTTAAGAACAAATGATACTATAGGATAGTACTGGACAGAAAGGTGTGTTAACATCAGATCTTATTACCTCAGCCTTTAGAGTTCTTTTCTCTAGACATGGAACCTGAGACCAGTCTGGAGATCCAAATTTCATTGGCCATACAATCTTTGGGGGTGACTTCTTCTCTGGATTGTATGTGCCAGGGCTAGAAATAAACGTACAAATACATTTGATGACTGACCATGAATTCCACCCGCCTTGGAAGAAACAAGACTAACCTTTCAGTGTCAGGCAAACACGAGTGCCATTTCCCTGTTAGTGCATTTCTAATTAGGTTGCCAGTGTTAGAGAAAACTAGCCTCAACATCCAAGCAGGGTAAAGATAGACTTAAAATTATTTCTGTAACTCGGAGTCCTTAGCTGAAAGACCAGAGGATCCCAGGAGAGTGATAAGAGATCCACCATGGTGATGGATTAGTACTGCCCACAGTTTGAACTTGGTGCAATATATGCAGACAAAAGGAGAATCAGTTACTTTGGCTCTCAACAATGCGATTATTTTTGAATTGCCTGCGTTTGTAAAGCTGTTATGGATTCTATTGTTAGGAATAGTTTAGAGCAGATACAGAATCAAGACTAACATTTAAACTTCCTTAACACAAGCTTGGAAAAATTACTCGCATTTTCTGGTCCTTGGATTTCTCATAGTTTAAGGAAAGACTGACTACTTTCTCCTGAAGTTGCATATATTGAGTGAGTTCATAGACATCTAGACTAAACCCCATTGGCTTGCAAGGCCTAGATACTCAAGCCTGCCTCTGTTCTGTGTTCACATTTCCTCCCTTCTCACCATACCCTAGCCATGATAATGTCTTCATTTTCTCTCATCAAATGTCTTCTCAACTTAAAGTATTTGCAGTTGCTGTTCTTTCTGCTCAGGATGCTCTGTCTTCACATAATAGATTAACCCACTTCACAGGAATGGCTTAATATATTCATTCAGCTCTCACATCATGGGGCATTTGCTGAGCATTTTCCTTAACAACTTCAGACAGAGTAGCCTCCAGCTCATCACTCTATATCATATCGTCATCATCCTGTTCTAATGTCCTCATAGGACAGCACCAGCTCCCCACAATTTCTGGTGTGCCCATGACAGTCTCTGGTTACAGTTACTGACATGAGGGGACAGTCACTTGGTTTCCTTAACCAAGTGTTACAGTTTGACTAATACATTATATGGCCGGTATCCTGATTGCTGTTGGTATTTCCTTGAATATTTAATTCTGGTTTCTTTGGTTCTAACATGTACTCTCCAAGAGATCAGAATCCCTGTTTGGTGGGTATATTGGATGATCTGTGGAAGCTACAAAATCACCTGACCCATCAGCAAACATCTAGTGAATTAATTACTGATTCTACAAATTACACAGTATCAGAGATCTGGGAAATTAGAGGTTAAATCTTTTAAAGATTCATATTGGAAAGTTTGGATGTAACCTACTTTATGTACTTCTTTCCTTTGAAATGTACAGTACACAGAAGCCATACCCAGGATAGGAAGTACCCTTAACTTCAGTCCCAAATCGAGGCATCAAGGCATTGAATGGGGCAAAGCATTGTTTGTGTTTTTCATTCCAAGTATCAACTTTCTGATACATTCCTGGATATGGTGTCACATCCTGTAATCACAAAAAGATTCATGTGTTAGAGATTGGTAAAATATAATCTATATTATTACAGATTATTTAAGGTAAAACAAAACAATCATTTCATACTGTTTATAAATCAGCTACAGTTCAGTGTGTCAAAGAGGTAGAAATAGGCCTCTATATGCAAAAACCTAAATATGGGTGTGGGCCAGCTACATGCATAATACTATACACACACACACACACATGCACACACAATGAAAAAGTTGGAATTTGTCCTTTAACTGAGAAGACAGTGTGATGTAAATATAGCTTCTATATTTTAGCTTTAGGTTATAAAACACTGTCCTGGGATTATTTCTTCAGTGAACTGTTTTTTGCTGCTTTTAGGTTACTTCCTGCTTGCAGTAGCTAATGTCTCAAGTTTTTATGTTCCACAAAGACCACTTACAATCCCAGAACATTACCTTGCTGACTGGCTTAAACCTAACAGCTGTCCTGGCTCCAACTGCATAACCTTTTGTACTGGTGGGGATCCGAGATAGGTTGTGTGCCAAACCATTCCACTTCCAGGGAAGGGAGAGAGGAGGGGAGGAGAACATTAGTAACACAGTCATAAAGCAGCCTTCACAGTGGAGTGAATTTACAATGTTCCTATGTGAACCTCTTTGCAAGACATTGATGCATTTTTTTCTTGTTTTGATTCTTTTATAGCTAAAACCATAAAGGTAAAAAAAAAACCCACATGTAACTTTGCAAAGAGGTGATGGTTGGATAGACAAATAAATTGGATTTCTGTGAATTCCAAAGACTTCTATCCTCAGAGTCCTGTAACAGCTGAATTTGCTTTTATGGAAGAGACAGCCTGAGGACTGAACTAAGCGGATGGAAACTGACATCAGCTCAAAGGGATGTTGGGAAGTGAAGATGAAGCAGGGATTGTATAATGACGAGGCTTGCATTTAGTGGGGGAATGGAAAGTGGTGATCCCTGGTCCTTTACACATTGCCTCTGTAGCTGGTTATAGACCAAGGCTCCTTGTCATGTTGGGAACCAGAACACTTGTGTATCCTTCCATAGGAAACTGAGGGGAGGTGAATACTCACGTCTGTTTCTGTATAACACCCAGGGCCTGTGTGGGGCGATCCCCTAAGAGGGAGAAACTTGTTCCCCAACCAGGTTGGGGGGTGGTAGTGAGGAAAGAGTTTCCTCTGTTGACGTGTCCCAAAAGAGTAATTATTCACCTTCCCTAAAGATCAAGAGGAGAAAATCCAAGTGAGCACATGGGTGGAGGGAAGCATGGGAGCAGGTGGATTGGTCGACCGGGATGCCAATTCTTACGTAAACCAGGCGTAACTCCACGGAGCGGGGGAGCGAGATGTATTTCCTCCGTGTGCATCTCTCCTGGTCTTCTTACCCTTCTCCCGCTGTCTGTTCTGTAGTCCTCTGCTACTCTCCTCACCTACCCTGCTGAAGCACATCGTGCACCGTACTAGGGTTCGCAATGTGTACCACGTTGCCAAGGTAACGGTAACGGAGCCGCAGAGAGCCAGAGAGGCGGAGCCTAAGTCCCCGAGTGAGCCTGCGCAGCAGATTGCCCAGAGAACTGGTCACTTCAGATCTAGGCTCTGAGGATATTCTTTCTTTTCTTTTTTTTTTAAATTTAAATTTAAATTAGAAACAAGGTTGCTTCACATGTCAATCCCGGATCCTTCTCCCTTTCCCTCCCCTCCTCCCACTACCGCCTCCCCCCCCTGCACCCTCCTTTCCCCAGGGTGAGGACCTCCATGGGGGTGTCCATAGTCTGTCATTTCATCCAGGGCAGGGCCTAGACCCTCCCCCAAGAGTCCAGGGTGAGAGTACATCTCTCATTTTGGGATAAATACTGATCTACTACCCAAGGCCCCATAGATTACTTAGGCCTCCTCACCGACACCCACATTCAGGGGGTCTTGATCAGTCCCATGCTGGATTCCCAGCCATCAGTCTGGGATTCAAGAGCTACCCCCTGTTTAAGGCAGCTGTTTTATTTCCCAAAACTACAAAAAAGTAAAATGATGCTATTGTGGAAATTTGAAAAAGCACATTTACAATATATATTTTTTAATTTTTAAAATTTTTAGGTTTTTCGAGACATGGTTTCTTTGTAGCTTTGGAGGCTGTCCTGGAACTACCTCTTTAGACCAGGCTGGCCTCGAACTCACAGAGATACACCTGCTTCTGCCTCCCGAGTGCTGGGATTAAAGGCGTGAGCCACCAACACCCGGCTACAATTAAAACTAGTCCTGTCTTCATATGCTGCTTCAGTATATATGTACATTGTGTGATATTCAAATTGGGCAAAGCATATTCATTTTCCCAAACAGTTGTCATCTCTGTGTTGCAAACTTTCAAATTCCTGTCTTCTGGCTGGAGACAACATTTTTTTTTTTTTTACCTAAAGATTATTGGAGTGATTCCCTTGGCCAATATACCAGAGTACTCAAATATCTGTAGTGCACTGCCTGGTTAAACAATGAATTCTTCTGTGTACTGCGTAGTGTCCAACTGTCCTTCTACAGAAAACAATTTGGAAAGAGCCAGGAGTTTGGTGTATTCCTGATGCCAGCCTGGGTTACATGGGTTCCTGCTTCAAACAAAAATTTAAAATCAATCTCTCTCTCTCTCTCTTTCTCCCTACCTACCTTTGTATCATCTATCTGTATATTATATATATATCATCTATGTATGTGTTTGTATGTATGTATGTATGTATGTATGTATGTATGTATGTATGTATTTATCTTTAAACAAGAACTAATGAAGAAAACCCAGGATATGGAAGGTTGTTATAACTAGCTAAGATTTAAAGAAATGTTTTTGAGAATTTCATAATGCAGATAGTGAAATAAAATCATATCTCTCACATTTCCCCCTCCAACTCCTTTCATATCCCCACATCATTTCCCTCCCAACTCTATAACTTTATCTTTTTTTTGACAACTCATTAATCCCTGTTAGTGCTGCATATATGTGTACAGATGTGGTGCCATTCATTGGAGCCCAGGGAAGTATCAGTTGCCATAAGGGAACTAAACTTAAATAGACTAAAAATTGGGTCTAAAAGTCATAGCATATAATTTACTCCAAGAATTTTATAAAAATATGACTATTAATAAGGCAAAAATACATATTGATATCAATTTGATAATTTTCACTTTTTGACTGTTTTTAGGAAGTATTAATATATTTAAAATTTGTAAATGTCTTAGTTATTTTTTTAGTTTTTTATTTGTTTTTTCAAGACAGTTTCTCTGTGTAGCCCTGGCTGTCTTGGAAATTGATCTGTAGACCAGGCTGGTCTGAGACTCAGAGATCTGCCTTCTGTGTCTCCTAGTACTAGGATTAAAGGCAGGAACCACCACACCTGGCTAATTACCTTCTTCTTTTCTCCTCCTCCTCCTCCTCCCTCCTCTTTCCCCTCCTCCTCCTCTCCTCCTCTCCCTCCTCTCCCTCCTCCCCCTCCTTCCCCCTTCTTCTCTTTATCCCCTCCTCCTCTTTCTCTTCCTTCTTTTTGGTTTTTCAAAACAGTTTCTCTGTGTAACAATTCCAACTGTCCTGGATATAGCTCTGTAGGCCAAGCTGATCTCAAACTCACAGATATCTGTCTCTGCCTCCCAAGTTCTGGGATTAAAGGCATATACCACCGCTGCCTGGCAACATTTTTATTCTTAAGACTAATTTTAAAACAGCATTTTTATGTTAACTGACACAAATAATATATAGCTATAAGATATAGTATGACACTTCAATACATATGTAGAATGTATAATGATATGACAAACTTTGAAGATCCCCAAAGGAAAGCCTCACCCTCCCTGGGGAGCAGAAAGGGGATGGGGATAAGGGACTGGTGGTGGGCAGGGGAGGAGGGGAGGGAGAGGGAACTGGGATTGACATGTAAAACAAGCTTCTTTCTTTCTTTCTTTTTGTTTATGAGACTTTTGTTTCAGAACATTTTGATAGTAAAGAATTTATTGACAAGGTATGGTGGTACACACTTACAATAATATAATGGTGGTGCATACCTGTTATCCCAGCATATGGAAAGCAGAGGCAGGAAGACCTCCAATTAGAAGCCAGGTCAGCTAGCCTGTGTTTCATGACTATTCCCTATTTCACAGGGCTGGGGGGGTGCTATCGGCATATTGTTTGGTATGAAAGACAGTAAACAAGCTTGTTTCTAATTTAAATACCCCCAAAACCCCAAAACAAAACCAAAGAAAACATACTGTTAAGAACACAAAAAAGAATTAATAAATCACTGATAATAATATTTAGGATAAGTGAAGGTACAAACCACTGAGATGAAAAGATAAAAAGGCAGTATTTTAGATTTTGTAAACAATGATAGTAAGTGGAAACCATAAGACTATATTCAATTACATTTAGAGAGTTAGATGAAATCAGTTTTATTTTAGAAAAGCATAATGTCAAAAGTATTATAGGCAGAATCTATGGTGTATGACTTTAACACGTAGAAAGTTATATAAAGGGGCTTTCCTGAGAACTTACTGACTAAAGAAATATTTTGAGAGAGCGAGAGATGGCGTGAAAGTGGGAACATGGAATTGTGGGAGTAGGGAAGTCTGGAGGATCTGGGAGGTGTTAGGGGAGGGTAAAGAGTGCGCTTAAAATATATTGTATGAAAAGAATTCTTTTTAAATTAAAAAGCAATGTGTTGCAATGGCTTCTGGAACAAAAAGAGGACACTGTTGTAAACAAGGTCTGGCTTTTATCATTATCACAATAATGTGGCAATGTTGCTTTCTTAACTTTGATAATATACCCCATAATGCGAGGTACTGATAATGGAGGAAACTGGGTGAGCAATTTGGGAGAATTTTCTCTGTATATGCTGTAATTTTTTTGTGACTGAAATGAAATCTAGTTTGACCCTAAAAAAATAAAGACAAAGAAAAAATACATCAAAGCGGCGCCACTCCTCAGTTTATTCTCTAACACTTGCAAAGTCTTAATGATAGCATTTGCCATTGCAAGAAAACCTTCATGAACATAAAGGAAAATAAGAAAATGAAACAAACTTCAGCAAATCAAATGTAATCTGTCATTTCATTATCAAGTTGTAGATATCCCAGGAATTCAAGGTTTGCTGCAAAATTTGAAAGTAAAACTAATACAATTCCTTATATTAACAAACTAAAATGTGATTATCTCAGTGGATAAATATGAGCACAATATCCACTCATAATTTTAAACATTAATCTCTTTGTAAATTAGGAGAAGCTTCTTTAATCTGAAATTATTAAGGACTATCATGCAAAATACACTTCATAATGAAAATATAAAAAATTTTAACTGGAGATTGGAAACAAAGATGATCACTTTTTCCTATTTGCAAGCTATTGAAGAATGTGTGAACATGGGTTCATACTGATTATATATATCTACATATATATTATAGAAATAATGAGAAAATAAATACCAAATGATAAAATATGTAATCATTTGGCTGCTATCAGAGTGGACATTGATAAGGCAGTTGAGGATAGATAACAAAGCCCATAGGTTCTCTGAGGAGCAGAATTTGATGTAATATAAGAATGTTTTCTGTGACAACTTTTTTTGATATGTTAACATAGCTAGGCTATAGTCTTTGATTATTTCATTGAAATTCTATGGTTTACTGTGAAGAGATTTTGCAGATATGATTAAGGTCCCTTACCACAGGTGACTTGAAGTAAAGTTTATTCCTTGCAATCTGGATGGACCTTTAAAGGTACCACTGAGAGATAGGGTATAGTAAGAGAAGAAAATTCCCTCAATGGACAATAGCATTAGCCTGTGGAATGACTTGGCCTGTCCACATTTTGGACATGATTAGTCAGCTCCCCTAATCTGTAATACACCCAGGTTGAGGATCTTCCTGTAGATATATTTTTAAAGACTGTTAAGCATTGGAATGACAAGGAAAGGCTGGAGAAACTATGGTGGATTGATGAAAGAAGACAGTGGAATGCAGCATAAATTCCTGGAGAGAATCCTAGATGAGATAGTGTTGTGACAGTTGGAGGAATTTAACAAGGTGTGTATGAGTTAAAGAGTATTTCTGCACTAGTTTTCAGAGTGGTAGTGCCATACAGCTGCAGTGCGAGAGGGTATTTGCTGGGAGTTTCGCTGGAGACTTAGAGGAGGACTGGGTACCACGCGAGAAAAAGTGTATTCAAAAGAACGAACACACACACACAC